TAAATGAAGAATGTTAAAAGTCAAAAAAAATCATGTCGTTCAGAGACAAGGATGGCAAATAACACTGAAAAAAAAGGGGAAGGTCATCACATCATTCAGAGTAAGACCTCTCCAAGGGCAATGATCACACTATTTCAAAAAGAGTTCATCGGAAATAATCCTCCTTTCTCCTCTTCCCCTTTTCATTGTCACACGCATTTCTTTTGGGGGCTGAGCAAGGCAGGCTGTGCTTTCTTGTCCTATTTCCAGCAGGAGTTTTTGACCTTGAGAAAGTTCCTTCATGTCTCCATGCAATTGTTCCTCCTGTAAGAAAAAGGAGAGTATTTCTTGCCCTTGAGTACAGCTGCAACTCAAGGTAGTAAAAAGATGTGTGAGACAAATCCTTCCATCTCCCTCTATTGATCAACCATCATTGCCACCCCTTCCCATGGTTTGGATGGCTTTACCAGTGCCTCTCCACCTGCCCCACCAGTTCTCAAGCATTGGGATGGCAACTGCAGGTTCTCTACCTCTTGAGGTGCTGTCTTGAGGTGTGGCAGGAACCAGTCTGGTAGCACCTCCCGGTCTCCTCAGGAGATAAATATTTGAGCAAAAGAAAAGTTAGCAGGAAAGAAGGAATGAACCTTTAAAATGGATGGGAAAAGGCTCTAAATGCTGAGGCAAAGGTCATGCCAAGGAAGTAAGAGAAGCAAAAGGAAATACGTCCTTTCAGCTAAGGGAGGGAAAAGCTCCTCTACATCCCCTTGGATCAAGTCTGAGACAATAAGGCTGCTGTCTTCCTGATTAGTGCTCTGTAGCCCCAGCCCAGGCAGGGAAAATCTGCATTTCAAATGGCATATTTTAAAGTACACAATACCCAGGGGCCCTGCTGCTATTGATTTGCCTCTGGTGGGGTCACTGCCTCACTTTCTACAGTTTTATTAACTGGGACCATACGCTGGGTCTCTTTCAAAGTGAAAAGAGAGTGGATGGGACATTTGTCTTCCGGGGGAGCTGGGAAAGGAGTGGGGTGACTTTCACTGGGAATGCCCTGGAGGTTTTATAAGGAAGACTGGTGACCCTTACAGGACTCTTCTTTTATAAATTTCCCTGGAGCCATCCTGGGAGGGGAGGAGGTAGATCTTATCCTGTCAACTTCTTCCGATGTGACTGAGTTCCTGTCCTCCTACCTGCATTGTGCCACTGCACTCAGTCAGGCTTTGACCACTGGGCTGAGTGGGAGCTCCCTCTTCTTTCCCCTTAACCTTCACCCCTGAGCACATCCAACAAGAGCAGGACAGGTGTGAATGGGACCTGTGACCTTAGAAAGGAGACAGGAGGGTTGTCAAAAGTTGAAATGTCCAGACAGTTTTAGGACAAGTGGAGGTCCACTCTCTAGCCAAAGTAGCAAAGCCAGTTAACAGGGGTACACATCTGTGTTCAGATGTGGGAAGCTCTACTCCTCCCAGCTCCAGGTAACCCTAGGTTAACCCAGAGACTGCAGCGAGCTCTGTGTCTTTTGGGTCATGATATGAAGGGTTCCAGCTTATTTCAGCATGCTAGTTTTCTAGGACATCTTGGAGAGTACCTCCACAGAGCACTGAGCATAACAGAAAGTGGGTGACTGCTCTCTGCAGGATCTCTGTTGTAGCCAAAGCACTTGATCTAGTTTACCAAAACACAGCTTAGGACTTTATTTTTTCTGCATTAGCTTTTTAACCCTAAGCTAAATTTAACCTCTTTGTTCCTCACAGTCCTAATTCAGTCTCTGTGGGAGTATGGCCAGTTTTAAGTGACCATTTCACTGAAATTCACCAGGCTTTAGACTGCAGACCCTGCACCTTCAGCACAGATCAGTAGATTAGGAACATCTAGTTCTTCTCATAAGGAGAGAGAAAATACCTTCTTCTCTCCAAAGGTCTGTGACAGAAGGGCATGAATGACATTGCACTGCAAAAAGGAACATGAATGTAGCCAAGGCATACCCTGCAAACATGCACCTTCCAGTGCAAATTTATAATCCCTCCGAAAGCACAAGAAGTGACACACTGAGGTTACCTGATTTGCAAACAGGAGGAGCACCTGCCATTGTTAACTCTGAACAGCTTAGAGACATTTATAAGCAGGAGAAAAAGTTGCATAAGCCATAATTAATGTCACAAGTGACTGCGTAGCTCTGCTGAGTGCAAAATGGAGATTTTCTTTGGAGCACTAGAATCATTTGTACTACTATTGCCAATGCAGCAACTTTTTAGATAGAGCCCTGTTTCTCAGCAGCACAGGTGAAACTCAAAAAATGGGATTAACACTTTTCTTTTAAATGGATGTGAACCAAATTCCAAAAATATCTGCTGAGGACCAGTTAAGGGGTGGAAATTATTTCATCTGACTGTGTTGGTAGGTGCAGCTGAACCAATCAATTGAGGTTCCACATCCAGTCCACAGGGAGAAACAAAGCTGCAATCCATCTGCCCAGAGGCATTTGGGTACAGAAGGGAGAGATGAATCTTGGCCTAGATTCCTCTACCTGTTTTCACATCAACCATGGTGGGAGACCAGCTCACAGCAAACCCGATCTGTATTTAGTTTACTGAACCTGACAGTGGGAAATGCCAAAAACATAGTCCTCTGCCTGCTCTAGAATGTCTCTGGTTCAAATACCAGGCTGATATCTGCCAGCAAGACTATGGTACACATACAACCAACCATACATCACTCTCTGTTCTGAGGTGGTCTTGTTCATGCAGCTCTGGTCACTTTTGGAGAAAAGCAGAGAAAACTTGACAAGGTCCAGACTGGGAATGTTCCCAGCCCTTGCAACTGCATCCATCTCAGAGAGGTGTTACTTGGGTCTGCAGAGCTACAGAGATCCTATAGGCATAGATCTCAGCCATCATTTCTGCAACCAGCCTCCTCAGTCCTGGGTAAAAATACCCAGCACAGAAAATGAGATATGAGTCAGCACACCTAGTGCTGGAGTCAATCCAGTGTTAAAGATGGATGGATTTCCCCTTCCTCATTCACTTCATTGGCATACTTTCTAAAATCACCTGCTCAGTACCTTCCCTGCAGAATAAACCCAAATAATATCTAGAAACAAATGTATTCCTTAAAGGGGAATCAGCATTGTGCTATAATAGAAAAGATTGTCTAATCACTCCATCAGTAATTACAAAGAACAGGATATCACTAATTAAAATGTGAAAGTGTCTTATGCAGGGTATAATAAAAAAGGGTAATTAACAATCAAAGGAAAAGCCACCACTTTGCCTCCAATCTGCATTAGGCTTCAAAAAATAATAATACTCAACTCCAATACAACACTTTTTATCTGTAGATCTGAAGGCACTCCTGCGTGGGGAGGCAGGTATCCTGTGTCCCATTTTATTGCTGGAGAAACCAAGGCAAGTTTCCACAACATGTTCATGGTTATTCAGCAGGTCAATGGCACAGCACCCTTTACTGGTGGTGACAAGTTTCAGTATTTGAATGAGTACAGTTCATTTTCAAGGGTTCATTCAAGGCACTCATTGGTTTCTTTTAGTGCGTATGTGTATGAATAGCTAATTTAGCTGTTATTTCTGTATTAAAGCTAACAGTAGGGAACAGCGTGTTCCTTGCCATGACTTTTGAGATCTGTTTAATGCTGAGAAGCATGTCCCATGTGCTTAAAAAACAGCATCAGAAGGTGATTTCTTGATGGGAGAGAGAGTAAAATGACAGACAGCAGCAAAACAGAGTTACTCCAATTCTGGAGACAGCACAGACATGAGTCACTTCTAAAATCACTACAGGAAAACATTTTTCTTTTCCACTATTATCATCAAGGCACAGATTACCAGAGGTTCGGCAACGTACAGAGTAAGGTTTTACTCTCTGTGCATCTTCTTTCCCCCATACCATCTCTAAACATCCACCACTGGTCACTGCTGGGGATTGGATACTAGGATGTACCCTGTCTGACTCTTTGTACAGCTACAGGGAAGGAGACAAGAGGTAGCTTCAACCAAACTGTCTTATCCTTCACACCAGGAACATTTTATAAGCCCACTGCAGCCATACTGTACACATGAACTGCACCATCTGTGTGCTAGGTTTGGAGTGTAACATAATGATAACAAAGTCTGGTTTTAATGAAAGAAGCATTTCCAGCATGTACAACCATTCACCAGCCTTCTGCTTCAAAATTTTTACCCCCAGAATGCCTGAAAATATAGCCTGGGTTACTTATTTCTGCTTTTGGTAGGTGCCCTGAAACAAGTAGTGTTTTGACCACTTTCTGGAAAAAAATTAATAGAGGAAGTCAGCCCAGATCAAAACCATGGGAAAGGGGTTTTCCCATTAGGCAATATTAATCTTGCTAAAGTAGGGGAGCTCTCTTCTCTTGTACAGCTTTTCTGGAGGTCTCTGCTTGGTTGTATTGGAAATATGTGCCATAATCTGGTCAAAAGGTTTGGTCATGGTTTTGCTCTGTACCCACCATACACTTCCTAGCAGCCTCAGAAAAAGTGATTTTTCTCACTGACAGATGGAAAAAAATCAGGTTATCCCTAGAGAACTAGCCAGGCTTGCTGCTTTCGAGAAGGAATCCACTTTCCCTACATACACTGGTCTCCCATCACTAACCACCAGGGCTTTCCCAGAACTTTGATATAAGCAATGTAAGCCATGAAACCTCTTTGCTCAGGTAGTATAAAGTCTTTTGTCTGCCCTTCTTATCAGAAAAGTAGCAGGGAGTCAGAGGATTGTGTCCAGCTCACGGGAGATGAGATCTCCACACTGGGGGAACACATGGAGGGGATGGGGACCACAAAGACTCCAAGATGAAAAGATAACCTTTGCCTCCAGCTCCTGTAGCGAGGAGGAAGGCCAAGCCTGGGGGGTACCACAGGCACAGTGTGCTGACATCTCAAAAGAGAGGGGTGCATCACACCCTCACCAGGCCCACACCCTGATGCTGGTGCCACAGGCTGCCCAGCCAGTGACCGCGTGATATTTTTTCCCTGCTCTCTTTGTTCCAGCTGATGCAGCAGCAGGCCGCGATCATGGCCTCGGTGGCGCAGGGCGGATACCTGAACCCCATGGCAGCCTTTGCCGCGGCCCAGATGCAGCAGATGGCAGCTCTGAACATGAACGGCCTGGCAGCCGCCCCCATGACACCAACCTCAGGTAAGGGGACAGAGGGGTGGAGAGGGAAAAGGGTGGGAAGATTTGGTCCCATCCCAGAGGAGACCTGGCGGGACATATTAGCTCTCCGTTATAGCCACCTGCAGCCAGGCGAGCATCGATCTCTTCTCCCAGGTTACAAGTGACAGGACCAGAGTAAAGTTCCACCAGGGGAGGTTTGGACTGGGTATTGGAAAAGATTTCTTTGTAACAGGCTGCCCTTGGCAGTGGTTGAGTGTCCATCCCTGGAGATGTTTAAAAGACGTGTAGGTGTGGCACTTTAGGACTTGGTTTAGTGGTGGGCTTGGCAGTGCTGGGTTAATGGTTGGACTCTGTGATCTCAGACGTCTTTTCCAACCTTAACAATTCTATGATTCTGTGACACTTCCTTCTCAGTTTTATCCCACACACAACTTTTCTTTGTGTCTGAGCACCCTCCAAATGTCATAAAACATTCTGCAGTGTCCTGCACTGGTTTATTGGTGTATATATGTGTCCAGCTGGTCAGTGCTGGTGCTGTCACAGCCAGGCTGGTCTAAAGACAAACAAAATAGGGTTGGTGGTGAGATGCATTATCATTAACAAGATGAGTTTTGCCTTTGGGACACATAAGCCATTTCCCTATTATGAGATAGGACAGTAGGTATTTAGGGAAGATATCTGGTCCTATCTGGAATGAAGACCTTTGGTGAGAGGGTTTCAGGTTGCTGAAATAGAGATGGGTAGTCAGTGAAGGGCTGCCAGGGTCTGTCTAGGCTGTGAGAAGCCCATTCTAGGAGCTGCAATATGTAGTTCCATGGGCAGAGAAATAAGCTGAGATGCAAACAGGTCTGTCTTTCCTGGGACTTGAAGCACAGGGATATCATTTGGGCAGGAAGAGGTCAAGGAATGATCAAGACTGGTAGTCATGGAGTGATACATGGCCTAACAGCAGTGAAGTAGGAAAGTAGGAAAGTGGGACCAAATCTTGAAAGACATAAGAATTTGGAAAGCCTTGCAATCTACCAGAGTCTGGTAGGGGAGCAGAGCTCTCAAAGGTACGTCTTCAGAGGACCATTTCTAAGAGACAGGCTGGGATAAAAGGGTCCTTGGGGTGACATAGCTTGTTTCTATGAGAGGTACAGGGAATAGGACTGTACTCAGAAAGATGTGGCATACCAGTGCCCTTGTGTGAACCTGGAAGCATCCAGCTGGCCTGTAGAGGACCAGCTTCACAAAGGTTTGGGATGAGACATGGAAGGAGTGAGATATGTCTGAGCCTGCTATGGTGCAGGCAGTGTTGGGCAGACCAGGAACTGGGACTCCAGAGCAGAGCAGTAAGAGAGGAAAAAGGCAGCTTCATTGCTGAATATAGAGAGATCTGCACCAGCCCCGGAGTGGGAAAGTGCCATCTGACAAAGCAGTCAGGAAAGATGCCTGATGGTTGAGAAACATTGGATGGCAGGGAATTAAGGTACCAAAGCAATGCAGGTTTGGGCACTGTTCCTAATGAACTGAGCTGTGCTAACCTGTCTGCCAAAGGAAATATCCCTGGCTGCACACAGCATCTCTCAGCAATCTGTAGCTGGGAACAGCATCAGCAGCTACTGGATCATATACATATCTTTTCCTTTGCTTGTATTAGAATATAAGTGGGGGGGAGAGGAAGAGAAAGGAAGACAGATCTCATTCCACATGAACTTATGGAGACCCAAGGAAAAGCACTTGACTCAAAAATCTTATACCACACACATTTCGAAATATATGTTTACACAATGATAAAAGTATAAACAATGAGTCGATGGAGCTACTGCAAAACCAAACAGAAAAGTGGCTTAATTATATGTGCACCCTTTAAACCCACTGCTGGAAAGATTATCATATTTGCATTAGCTAGATTTGTTTTGTGTTGGTGGGAGCAGAAAGAACATCAAACAAAGACTGTCTGGAATTCAAATGTTGTCAGGGCCTGGAAAGCTGAATCCAGGCAGTGGTTTGTGATGGACCCACCACAAAAGAGCACAAGCTCTTTTGCATATATATAAGTCTTGAAAACGACTGAGTTTTATGCAATAGATGCAAAAATACCTGTAAAACAGCCAAATTATGTGCCTACCATGATATCCAGCACACAAAAAGCATCCTAGCTCTTCTTTGCTATAAACTGCTCCTCTTCTGCTGTCACCAGTGCCTTTCAGAGTCACAGAATCTTAGATCACCTAGGTTGTAAAAAATCTTTAAGATCATCAAGTCCAACCATTAACCCAGCACTACCATGTTCCCCATTAAATTGTGTCCCTAAACATCACGTCTACACGTTTTAAATATCTCCAGGAATGGTGACTCCATCACTTCTCTGGGCAGGCAGTTTCAGTGTTTGACAGGATGAGGGGACTGTTAAACTCTCACTGTCAGAATACAGGAGAGGAAACTCATGTTTTTTACATGCTCTCTGGATCACTCATGACTGGTCATTATTGAAAATAAGATGCTGGTTTAGATGATCCCCTGATGTCTTTCATGGTGGCCAATTTTGCACTCTCCTAATGACATATTTTCAATCAGAGAGCCTATTCACTTTGGTATTATTGCAGATTTACCTTGAATGAGTAACTTCCTTCATGAAAAACCTCTGTGGTGGGTTGTGGAAATATCCATTGACAATTATTCCTTAGGAGAAATGTTTAGACTTTGAAATTACTCCTTGTATTACTACAACACTCACAAAGCATGTTATAAGATGCATAGAAAATGTTTCACATAATTTCTGAGCAAGCAAGCCTACAACACTAGCAGCGATTTCTGAGTGGCCAGGAGATATCTGAAGCCTAACATGAATTCTCCTGCTGGTTTTTGTTAGCATTCAGAAAGCCAAATGGAAAATGATCATTCTGCTTCATAGCAGGATTTCTAGTCATTGAAGTATATCTTTGTTCTGCCTTGGAATGAAAATGAAATATTTCAAAGTTCTCTGGAAAAAAAAAAAAAAAACAGGCGTCAGAAAAACTGTTTGGAACATTGAAAAAGTAAAAAGGAAGTGTTTTGATCTTTCCTAAGCAAAAGAAAAATTGTACTAGAAAAAAAGATGCTGGTAACCCAGGAGTCCTAGAAGCATTGGAGGTATTGGCTCAGCCTCTATGCTGATATCTTCAGGGCTCCTACTCCAGCTGGTTTCCTGTGTGTCCCACCTCTAGGAGAGAGGGTTCCTTGCGACATGGCCATGACTTCATTCAGGCTTACGGGACCTACAAACTCAGAGAGTTTTGGATCCAGCCAAATCTAACAGATGAGAGACAGTATCCATCTTATCCGGCTGTGACCATGCAAAAGTCAGACCTCTCATTTAATATAGTCACCTGGCTGGCCTGCAGTCAGTGTGGGTGGTGATAGGCAGTCCCAGTGGGTAATTCAGACCAGAAAAAAGTTAATGCTGTTTGCTGCCATTTTAACAGTTCCCCATCAAGACTCAGGTTTATCTCACACACCACCCATAGTAGTGAGGCAATTAATTTAACATCTCTGAAAGTCTGGTTCAGGTTTTACATTTCTCCCATCTCTGCTACAATCTGGGTGAAAAGTGGGTCTGGCAGAGGATCTACTACTCTGTTAACTGCAAAGAGACTTTAGAAATGAAATTTCATTTAGGCTTTCCTTCCTTCCTTCTCTTCTCCCTCCCTGCGTCCCTCCCTCCCTCCCTCTGTGTTGTAAATCTGCACCTGGTGTAGCTGCAGCAAGAGATCTCAAACGAGGGATGAAATCCACAACTGGCATCCACCACCACCATTTGTTCTCTGCAGTGGCATTATGCCAGTTTTACTCCAGCTACAGATCTGACCTCTCCAGGGGGGTTCTTTATAAGAAGAAAATTAAAAAATTCCAATGAATGTGCCTAAATTTCCTTAGACATGCACAAAATAGCTAGCACAAATCCCTTGTTGCAATTTTAGAAAAAAATTACTTACATTTTCTATGCAAATAAAGGAGAGATCCAGAAAAGCAACTGAAATTTTAAGTAGCCTTTGTGATTTGCAAGCTGATGGCATATGCTAAGAGCATTGCCTTTGGACTTCAGTTGCCACTGCTGGCTCCCTGTACCTCCACAGAGGGCATTTTTAAAGGCCAACACCATTTAAATAAGCAAAGGGGAAGCAGCAGCTTGTCTGCTCAGGGTATAAGAAATGAGTTGAAATACTGCCTATTTTTTGGGCTACTCAAATCTGAACATATTAAACCACCTCATCCATTTGTATTGGCTTTCTTAAAGCACCAACACAGATTTAAGCTGTCATTAAATTGTGTTACCGGACTTACCCATCATGGAATGCTCTTGTGGTGAAGAAAATATCTGCAATTGGTTTAAAAAAGAGGTTACTGCAAAAATGGGGTTTTCTACCAGTAGTATACCCTGACACAGAAAGATATTGCTAAAGATTATATAGTTAAACTACCCACACACAGCCACCAAGAGAAAAATACTATTTCAGCATGTTTGAAAACTCATTTTTGGTCCCTAAAACTATCCTATGTCAGAAGAAGAACAGACTGTCCAGTCATTTTAAACATAGATACAGGAGCAGACAATGAGGTAGCAGAGGGATTTAATTCTATCCCCAGAAATTCAAGAATTCTCTACCAGTGGGTGACAAGATCTCACCCAAAACATAAAGACTAATTTGTTCTTCTGAAACAGCAGCATTAGAGTCCCCGATAGGATGCATCAGAAAAGAAAGAAAGGAGTATGATTCCATGATAGAACAAACCTAGCCCAAAATTTGCCCCTATTCACTGGGAGAAGTCTGTCAAAACTCTATAAAGTCAAGTTTGAGCCAAAGAGTGACATTTAAAAAAAGTATCGCTGGCTACCTTTAGGTTGTGAATCAACTTGCCAAGCCTTGTAAGGATCCCTAGTGCTGAGAAAGTTCAGAATGAGTTTGTATGTGAAAGGTGTATCCTGGGAGTCTGCAGAGAGAGTAGTCCTGGAAGTCAGTACACACACAGAGCTCCAAAGGGAAATTGAGAGGAACTGCTGTAGAAAGGTAGAGCTGAGAAATTTTGAAAGATTTGCAAGCCTTTCTTAAATGCTTCCTGAACAGAGGAGCAATGGCAAGCAGTCCCTTCACTTGCTCAACAGCTTGGAAGATTTTTCATTTCTTGGATTATCGGGAGGTTTCTGTCTGGTGGTCACAGCTGTTGTGTCAGCAGTTTTCTCCGTGTAGTTGTTGTTGTTTCCAGTACTCCAGCTCTGACATTGTGTCCTCCCTGTTTGCAGGTGGAAGCACGCCTCCTGGCATAACTGCACCAGCTGTGCCTAGCATCCCATCTCCAATTGGGGTGAATGGTTTCACTGGCCTCCCGCCGCAGGCTAATGGGCAGCCAGCTGCAGAAGCCGTGTTTGCTAATGGCATTCACCCTTATCCAGGTAAGCCAGACCCATGCTGTGCCCACAACCTGCTCCCTCAGTGTTAGGGAAGGCTGTCCACATCCACAGGCTTTGTCCAACAAGAGAGACCTCAGAGGGATTATGCCTCACACCATCAGGACTCACCCCCACATCGCTGTTCGAGGTCTTACGCAGCTACAGTAGTTAAAAAGTTCAATCTGGATGATAAACATCAAGGGCATGTTGGAGGTGAAAAAACTCGGTTCTGAATATTTGAGTGCTCAGTTGCTGGATAGCGTGTCTGGTGAATATAGTCAGGACAACCAGCATGTTTTGCTTCAGCTGAAAATTGCGCTTAGTCCTGACCAGTTCATGCTGGTAGATCTCCTGGTGTTACACCCAAGGGTCTTGCTCCTGAGTGGCCTCGAAAGAGCTGTGCTAAGCCTGTTTGCATCTGCTAGCACCCACCATTGGTAACTCTTCCTGGAATTCCTCTGCAGCCAGATGGCTCTGGGAGGATGAGTCCAAAGGGTCCACATGTCTGCTGACCCAAACTGCTCCATGTGTGCAGAGAGCAGGTATTGGTCTCTGAATTGCTCACTGCATCCAAATCCTGTTGCCTTACCAGGCCTGGAGACTGAAGCTCCATTAAGTATAGCCACTGAATGGTCTCAGGTTCACCTTTTTGTGTCACACTGCCAGAGAACTACTGCTGGGATTCAGACTGTGCCTAGCTCAAAGATGCCAGCACTGAAGGAGTGATTTTGCAAGCACTGGCAGTCATGGATGAAGGAGGGAGGTTAAAGGACATGTATCTGCCTCTGTTTACAAAGATATGGACAGTCTAAGGCTGCAATCACCAAGAACTCAGGAGTTTACCATTTCTTCATGTGCACCTGCATTTTTTCGATATTCTGAAGATTTGCAATAGCCCTCTCCCTTCTTCCTTCTACTAGGAAGACATTTTTTACCATTGCTGTATACATACTAATCATAGCAATAAAAATTTAAGTAAATGTTACTAATTGATCCTAATCACCAGCTGGCAAAGGAGTATATTACCCTGGGGTGCTCATAGATTGATCTAGACTGTTAGAAAATCAAATACTGAGTCAGATGCTCCAACCAAAAAGCCCAAAAAAACCCTGAGAAAAAAAAATAATTATTTAGATCTCTGTCAGTCCTGAAAACTCAGAAGAGTCATCATCACAGGGGATTTTATGTGCCAAAAGGAAAAATACCACATAACATAGAAACACAAAAGCCTTACCTACGTATTGACAAATAAATATCCTCCTCCCAACAAACACTTTGCAAATATGTAGCTGTGAGTTCATCTCTAAGCAGAATTGAAATCAAGGGACTTACTCTGCTGAAAGTTGTAGGCATGTATATATGTTTTTGTAGCAGCTTAAGGGCAGGGGAGATTTTGGAGTCTTGTGAAGGCACCAGAAGATTGCAAAGAGCCTTTAGAATGCTCAGTGAGCTCAACCACAGCATCAAGAAAGCTGTCTTTAAGGTTACATAAACAACCATCTGTTCTACCGTCCATTTATTTCAGTTTCTACCTGTTTGCCAGTCTATCATCTCTCTGTTTATTCATCCATTTATGTGTCTGTCTTTTTTCCTGGTTTATCTAGCTCCTTTTAGCTAATCTTCCATGATCCATTACTGTGGATATCAGAGAAAAGATGTTCTTTCTAGATGAATCTTAATGACTTGAGCTTTTGTTACTACCCCCAACTATCCCCATAATTAAAGAAGCCTTTCAGTTAGGTATTTCATCCATGATTATATAAAAGTCAATGGCCTTAATCTGATTCTCTCTGAGTTTCAGAGAGACTTGCTCAGCCAGCAATTCACAGTAAGTCCCTGCACAAACACCAAAAGCCCAACACACTAAAAGGTAACAGCCATCCTTGCTCCTCTTCACTGCAGGCAGAGAGACTCCTTCCTGCCAGTAAAGCTGACATCTAAATAGGCTGCTCTGTGTAAAGTTTGAATTTATCTCAGCATGTCTTCAGCAATATATTTGTCTTTCTCGGTGCTCAGCTTCCCCATAACTTAGTGACATCTTAAGTTATAGCAGAGGTGTAAAGGGAACAGTGGCAGGTCAAACACTCACCTCTCATTTTACTTTTGTCTGTCCCTGAAACACTGAAAGCAAGCCCATGTAGCTTACATCATGTGTTTGCTCCATCTAATTCTCTTCCTTCTCATGAGCGTTTATGCACTCTCCAAAACTCTACTCCTTGCCACAGGCTTTATTGAGTCCTGGAGCTTAGTAGCATAAAAAATAAAAGGATTAGTCATTTATATTGGTAATGAGAACATCCACAGCCATATTAGACTGGATAAAATGTAGATAGGACACAAAACTTCATGCTTTATAATATAAGCCAGCCACTAATTGCTTGGGGTTAGAAAGAAATTTTCATCACTGGGCAGCTTATTCCATCATTGTTCATTATGGGATTTTTTACACTTTCCTCTGTTGCATCTGTTACTGGCACTGCCCTGTAGTTCTGCATGTCTCTGTTTCTAAATGCAAGGGTAAAAATAAAATATTACAACCAAGCAACACTATAGAGAAGAAAAGAACATGACAGTCCCCGTCCAAAGTCAGCATCTTCCAAACAACTTTCCTTTATGGTATGTCTCTCATTCTGAAAGTGGCTAAGACTGCTGCAGTATTATGTACATAATCATAGTCTTGCTATGGTTATGACTCGCCATATATTGTTTAAAGCCTGAATGTTGCTCTCACGCTCCACAAAAAAATCCTCAAATGTGGGTTCACACCATTATATCCTGTAGTAGAATGTTCTTTGTTGTCTGAAAATAGCAAAACAGGACAATGAACATCTATAGAGGCATGACATCCATACCATTCCGACCCAAATAAATTCAATTAAATGTGCAGTTTGTCTACATGTTCACCTTTGTGACTAGCTGTAATATTTTTGATGCTGCATCTAAAGGACTCCAGAATTCCACAATATTTGTAAAAACATGTCCACATGATGCAGCTGTATTTACTCTTTAATTTCAATTTTTTTTCTCTGTCTTCCCCTATGCTCTTTTTTTAAGATTCCCTCTGACTGCAGAAGGGACATGCATGGTATCATTTGAGTTAGACTATCAAACCATCCATGGCTTTGTGGCAAAGGCCAGAGTAGGTAGAATATCCCTACTCACCAGGTCTTTCATCACAGCCCTTGTCCCTGCAGGAATTAGCTTTTTCTGTGCATCTGATCAGTCTATGGATTCATGCAGTAGCACTAGAAAACCATTCTATGGATTCATGCAGTAGCACTAGAAAACCATTCCTCTTTGTAAGCCAAGGTCTCACCTTCTCCAAGATCAGCCAGTACATAATGCCTCAGTGCACTTTTTGGCATGGAGTGAATAACAAGGCAGCAAGTATTTCCCTTTTCACTAGCCTGAGCTCCTTTGGAGATTTGACCTTTTTGTATATTAATTCCTGCCCTTTAATCTTTCAGCTTGCAGAGCTATTGAACGTGGCAATGTGTCACAATATATAGTGGGGACAAAGAGCATAATCTGTTGTGCCATGATACTGTGAGTCACTTTGCAGCAGCACAAGAGCTTTTGCCATTTCCACATTAGTCATAGTAGCAGGGATTGTGCTCTTCTGCCAAAGCTTCTTAGCCACCCAGAGCCCAGAGCCTCTCTTGTAACCATGTGTGATGTACAATAACAGTAGAGACCATCTGCAATGGTTTCTGCAGTGTCTCACCTCATCAGAATTCTGCTTTCTGGTAACAGGTCCTGCCCTACTGAATTGCATTGTGAGGGAATGCCCAAAATGCTCTCTTCAAAGATAAAGCCTCTTTGGAAAGAGAAATGGGGGGAGAGACGAGAAAATCATGAGACCAAAGGGCAGCAAACAAGAGAGAGAAGGGATTGGCTGTCAAAGAATCAGTGAAATGAGGAAACTGGAAGAGGGAACAAAGCAGAGCTCCCAGAAAAGTGAAGACTGCTCCATGATATTCCAGTGATGTGCCCAGAAAAATGTGGAAATACACCACATAACATCCTACAACCTTATTCCTTCTGAGCTGAGGGATCTACAGCTTAACCAGAGCCAGGAATGGATCAGTGGTGTGTCAGCTTTGTGAAGCCTTAGATGGGGAATGCTTTCACAGATGCTGAGTTCTTTATCTTCCTTGTGAGGGGATGTAGAGGGCCAGGCACTGATCTCTTCTCTCTGGTCACCAGCGGCAGGACCCGAGGGAACAGCATGAAGCTGTGTCAGGGGAGGTTTAGGTTGGATATCATGAAAAAGTTCTTTACCCAGAGGGTGGCTGGGCACTGCAACAGGCTTTCCAGGAAAGTGATCACAGCACCAAGCCTGACATACATCAAGAAGCATTTGGACAGTGCTCTAAGGCCCATAGTGTGATTCTTGGGGTTCTCCTGTGTAGGGCCAGGAGCTGGATTTTGATGATCCTTATCCTTTCAGCTCAGGATGTTCTATGATTCTGATTCAGTGCATTTGTTCTGGGTTTCGGTTGCTGAGGAAAACAAAAGCTAAGTTCCCTCAGTTCCTCATAATACATTAAAAACTTATCATCTCATTTACTATTTTCAGGCACACTGTGGTTCTCTTTCTGACTGCCCACCACTGACAGGACTAGCTCTATGTCTCCTCTCTGCAGACATAGCGGAAGTTTCTCCACCAACCCCCTCCTTTGGCTGCACAGTGGGTACATCTGGGCTAGCAAGACAGCAGTCTCCACTTCATACCCTGTTTGGGGTCCAGCCCTCTCTTGTGAGCACTAGCTCTCAGTACAGGACAAGCCTTTATGCCCACATGTTTCCAAGCCACTGCTGAGACTGGCAGTAAGGGTGTCCCCCACTGAGTTCTGCAGGAACTCATGTCTTAGTAACTGAACCAAGACCATCAATTCATTTTAGCTGGGTCAATGAAGAGATATCAGGCAGTCACTTACTTCAGCCATTGCCAGCAGAGACAGGATTCAAATTCCAAGTGTAATTATTATTTTCATCCAAAC